TCTCAATCAAGAAGGCCATCCTTAGCACCGCGCAAGTCCTCAGAATCTGCTGCGAAGTCTACAGCTGCCGGTACAAAAGGACAAGATGCAAAAGAGGAGGATGAGGATAAGCCGGCGCACAAAGTGGAGGATGAGGATACGCCGGCGCACAAAGTCGCGGAGGAGGAGAAGGATCTAAAGTCTTTCTTGTCAGAGTCTGAACGGGCAGATCTCACTCTACTTATTGCAAGCATTTCTGAGACTATGCGGAAGATGATCGAGAGCAACTTTGATGCTGCAGCTACATTGAAAGACCTCGGTCAAGAGGGCCAGAGTGAAGAAGAAAGATTCGCCAACATAGACTACGACCCCGGCACTGTTGATGTCAGCCAATACGACAAGGAAAACAAGGCGCGCGAGGAACGTGAGAAAGAGCTTGCGACACCCAAGGTCAAGGAGTTGAAGAAGAATGCCCTCCAATGGTTCGATGATTGGCGAGAGGTTGTCATACAGCGCGTGGGTGAAGCGGTCAATTCGAAGGAGACTACGTCGAAGCAGAAGGCAAAGGCCTCAACGCAGGGATCAAAGACTACGACTACCCCAATAACAGAAGGAAGACCAGTCCAGAAAATCGATACCGGCGCAAAGCAGGGAGAGTATAGACCGCCAAAACTCGAACAATTGTTCCCACGGATCCAAACACCACTTACGAAATTGCCTATGCAGAAACGTACACTTGTCCTCCACTCGATACTCCTGATACTTCTGAGCTTGGAGCACTACAACGCTGCATCACGGGTGCTACTACTTTATCTAACATCAAGTATGAAGCTTGGTCTTAACTACCTGCGCGATGACGAAGAGAAGACGGCAAAGGGCTTGTTGGAAGCTGCTAAGCAAATTCAAGCAGACCAGGAGCTGTTGAAAAAGACCTCAGAGGAAAGCGAGAACTCGCGCAAGTGGAAGATAAGGCTTGCCCAGATAGCCGGCGCAGCCGTCGTGGGGCTTTCAGGCGGCATGGCTGCTCCAATGGTAAGCTAACCGTCCCCAGTATCTTGATTGATAATTTTCTGATCGAGTGCGATGCAAACAGATGGCAGCAGGTGTCGGCAGCGTGATGACGGGCCTCGGTCTCGGAGCTACCGCTGCAGCAGGCTACCTGGGCACCGTCGCTGGCAGCACCTATTTAGTCGGCAGTCTATTTGGAGCTTACGGAGGGCGTATGACCGGCGAAATGATGCAGAATATCTCAGCAGAGGTGCAAGACTTTGCCTTCCTTCCAGTCCATGGTGAACGTAAAGAGCATGATGAATCCATCGAAGCTGCTACCGACACTCGCCGTCTCCGCGTAATCATCGCGATATCTGGCTGGTTACTCGAGAAAGAGGAGGTTGTGACACCATGGCGCGTCCTGACGCCTACTGCCGAAGTCTTTGCCCTCCGCTTCGAGCTCGAGGCATTAATGAATCTAGGACAAAGTATCGACACTATGGTTTCCAGCGCAGCGTATGGATATGCCCAGTCCGCCATGATCCAGCGGACCGTGTTCGCCGAAATGATGTCAGCAATGTGGCCTATGGCCATAGTGAAGGTCGCCCGTGTGGTTGACAACCCCTTCAGCCTGGCCAAAACTCGCGCCGACAAAGCTGGAAAAGTGCTTGCCAACCTTCTCATCAACCGCGCCCAAGGCGAACGACCTGTGACTCTTGTAGGATATTCGTTGGGAGCACGCGTTATTTGGTCCTGCCTGACTTCTTTGGCCAAGCGAAAGGCTTTTGGACTCGTTGAATCCGCAGTACTGATCGGATCCCCCATACCTAGCGATGTCGGCACCTGGCGCGTTATGCGCACAGCTGTGAGTGGTCGACTAGTCAATGTCTATTCAGAGAACGACTACATCTTGGCTTTCCTTTACCGGACCTCAAGCATCCAGTACGGAGTCGCGGGTCTTATGCCGGTCTCTGGCCTTCTAGGGGTGGAGAATGTCGATGTCAGCGAGACAGTCAACGGACATCTAAAGTACAGGTGCGTACCTTTTGATAATTCGCCCAAATCGATATCACTATCTGCGCTGCAAGTCTCGCCACAGGGTAAAGGAGTACTTCCCATCCCCTAGCATTATCTCGCATCTGAGGTTTTGACCCAAGAGCAGAATACTGACTCCCAATTCTGCTGTAGGTACCTGGTAGGTAGTATCCTGCAGAAAATCGGCTTTGAAGATCTCGACAAGCAAGAAGTCGCTAAAGAAGCAGAGGCCTTCGAGAAAATCGTGGAAGAAGAAAAGAAGCAGACGTACGTTAAGCAAGCCGGAGAAGTGTACGAGAAAGCCAGTGGCAAAGGACTCGGTAAAGAACTTTACAATAAGTACGGAAAGCGCATTGGACTGGATGGTAAAGAATCCTCTGACGGCAAAGAGCCCTCGGACAAGGTCAAGAATATCAGCGATGCAGACGCGGACAAAGAAGCCACGGCCATGGAGAAGGAGGTTGAGGCGAAGACGCAGAAAGGCCTCATGCAGTGGGCCGTCGAGCAGCTATACATTTCGCGCCCATCAGTTCCGTCTACAGGCGACGTCAAGGACGCAGCTGCAAACCCTCAAGGCGCAGTTGCTGATACCAGCAAAACTGCCAATGAGACTGTCGATGCAGCCACAAAAACACTGCTGCAGCGCGCCAAGGAAGCCACGTATCTATCTCGCTCTGGCGGCGTCGAAGGCCAGGTCGCTGCCGATGACAAACTCACTCAAGCACAATCCACAGCAATATCCGCAGCGCCGACTGGTTATCTTGCAACAGCTGCGGGCTATATACCCACCAGCTACATTCCAGGATTTGGAGCAGCAGGCAAGGGAACAGAAACTGCCGATGACGTCGGGAAGCAAGCGGGAAAGCTTCAGCAGGATGTTGGTAAGGCCGTCAAGCCACCCTTGAAGAAGACCGATAGTGCAAGGAAATCTTTGGGGAAGCTGGCGGGACCTGCACTGAAGAGGACAGAGAGCGCGCAGAAGAAGCTTGCTGGGGCAACAAAAGACCCAAGTCAAGCGGCCACGGATCTAAAACAGACTTCCCAAGACGCTAAAAAGGACCCCTCAAAGACTTTGTCAAGGACAGCAACAGGAACGAAGAAGCAAGTGGGCGATGCCTCCAATAAGGTGGGTGACATCGCAGGCGACGCTCAGAAAAGTGTCGGGGATGCTGCCACGGACCCAACAAAGCTAGCTGAGAAAGGCCAGAAGCAGGCTAGTGAGACTACGAAATCAGCCGCAAACGCAGCTGGTGGTGTAACGAGCTACATCCCATCATTTGGTCTTGGAGGATCCTCAAAGAAAACAAAGCCGGCAGCCCCTAAGAGAGCTCCGAGTGGACAGGCGAAAGCAAAGGAAGCCACTGAGAAGGTGCCAAACCAAGCGACCGAGTCAGCCGGCAAAGCCGCGGCTAAAGCTCAAGACAAGGCGACTGACGCAGAGAAGACACCTGCGGGCTATAGTAGCTATCTTCCCCACTTTGGCTATGGGAATTCCACCCCCTCTCAATCGAAGGCAGCTCCCAAAGACACTGAGAAGAAAGTCGAGAAAGCCACCGAGGATGCTAAGAAAATACCAAATGAGACGACGAAACAGGTTGAGAAGACAGTAGATGATGCTAAAGAAACCGCAGAGGATACCGCGGGGAAGGCCCAACAAGCAGCCGATGATGATAAGGAAACGCCCAAAGAGGCGCTAGAGAAGACCGAAGAAGCGGCCGACGCTGCCCACAAAGCAGCTTCCGAAGGAACCAGTACCGCCAACGACTTGAAGTCCAAAGCTGAAGAGTCTACCACTGACCCAGCCTCCGCCCCATCAAACGTTGCTGCTGCACTCAGCGACACCGCTACCTCTGCTACAGCTGCGGCTTCTCAGGCTGGTTCAACCGTAGGCGATGCTGCCGCTAAAGCAGAGAAATATGTTCCCAATTCGCAGGGTCTAGGAGGAGATGCCGGCGGTAAAGTCGGCGAAATGGCCAGCGGCGCAGCTTCAGGTGTAACATCTGGGGCTTCTTTCCTTGGCAGAGGCGTTGGCGGAGCGGCAAACATGGTCGGTGGTGACCGGGCTAAGGGGGAAGAGGAGAAGCAAGATGTCCCTGACAAGAAGCCTGGAAATGGAATGGGCAAGGGAGATGAGGAAGACCGAAGCCAGTCGGATGATGACACGATAGAAGAAGAGGAGTTCCGGACACCTGGAGAAGAAAAACAGGAAGAAGGTAGCAAGCCCGAAGAGAAAAGCCCAAGGAAAGAAGGACCCGAAGATCCCTTCGTCGACGAAACCGAAGAAGATGCCGACTCCGAAGATACCGAAAGCACCATCAAGGTCTCGCAATCCCACGACTCCGACTCAGCCAGCTCAAACTCCGGTGGGGAAGGAAAAGTTAAAGATGAGAATGGCAAGGGCTACGCGTCGACGGCTGCGAGTACGGTTGGAGACGCTGGCAAGGGTGCCATGGGAGCTGGTGCCGCTGCCGGCGGTGCTGCGGCTTCTGCGGGTGGCGCTGCAGCCTCTGGAATCTCTCAGGGCGTGGGCCAGTTGGGGAAGTCCAAATGGTGGTGAAAGGAATAAAGTAAAGTGGGCGAAACAGCGAAGAAGCTTTGGCCACCCTGTTCGTCCATCGGCTTCTGTAAATGGGTACTTCGGCGGGTTGCCGGTCGTGTGAGTGAAACAACTGAGAAATTAGCGCATGGATGGCATCTCAACAATAGCACATCATCAATCGCTGCGGATGCCAAGCGATCGCGTAATGTTTAGGCGTACGATTTTGTAACATATTTTGAGTTGGAGGACGCATCTTGGTCGACTTATGATAACATATACTCATCAGGTACTCTAATAGGAGCTTTCAGAGCACAAATATAACAATCTTATAACCGAAAGCTTTGGCATCCGTACAGCAGGTCAGTTCAAAGCTAGAGCCACGCATATGCATATAAAACTGTTCGCTGACGAGATCATGTTGGACGAAGCTTCCGCCTGAGCAACACCCATGGCTCCATTACCGCCATAGAGGGCAAGAACCCTCCTCGTATTCCCGCTGATTCGGGTAGTGGAGTCTCATAAAGCTTCTCCGCTGCCGGAGACAGCCGTGCGAGATGGCGGCGTTGGTCTTACAGCCATCATTCCTGTGTGGGGGGGGGGGGGGGAAAGACTAGAGGCGGTACGTACGTCGATAAAGTCAAAGATGGCCGAGTGGGCCGTGGCTCTGTTCTTGAGGAATAGTCAGCTTGCATTCGGGTATGGTTTCCGAGATGGAGCGGCAAAATCAGGGTGTGGAGTGGGATGAGAGGCACACTTACATCGAAGATGACGACAGTGTCCTCGGACGGTCCACTTGAACCCGGACCTGACATTGTTGGGAATAGGCGAGATGCTCGAAGAAGAACTTGAGCAGAGTGTCGCTTTTCTTCCTTCTTGAAGCCAATAATGTTTGTAGTATCTGAGGCAAGTGAGACCATATTTTCAGCATGGGGGACGGGGAAGCTGATCTGATCTGACAATGACGGACATAGCGGGTTGACGACGAGACACTTCTCTCCCGTGACGAGGTGCGTTCGGACAACAGGGAGAACACTACTAACACCCGTGCCAACTTTATGCTCAGCTTTCAACCCCTGCAATCTCTCCGCACAAGGCCGGGAAAGTATCTTGTACGCCTCCGCCGTGTTGACGGAAACCGTGTCCCCGCCGACGTCTGGGCACTCGAGCATGTACAGGAAGATGAGTCCCGGTGGCGGCGGGTTCGCACTACTGTCTGTATGCCAGGACATGGAAGTGGTACGCGGGGCGTAGCTGTCGCGAAGTCTGGTGTCGCCACCGCCGTTGTGCGCGATTCGGGATTTTGTATGTCGGACATTTGGGAATGATACATTCATGGGCAGTACCAGGGCCAGCTTTTAACCGATGCTATGCTCGAGGACAGCTTGGTGGAAGACTTGTGCTTGTCTATGGACTTTGGCGCTATGGTATAAGACATGCTCAAAGTATAATGTCGTGTCCGTGGTCTGTCACTGGTAGTATCAGCGGTGATTGGATTGTGCTTTTTCTTCGGGTTATGCCATGCTCTAAAGATCGAAAAAACCCCCCGAAACGTATTACTTGATTATTCCTGCTTTTATTTTGCCATACCTATTAGCCAGTTTGCTATTATCACCCCAATTCCCCCCTCGTAAGCCTCTCCTTTCGACCATCTGATTCCCTGGTCCTTTCCGCCTCCCCTCACAGGGGCACTTCTAAAAATACTCCGGCGCCAACCTCACCCTCTCACAGCCCTCCGGCGCCTTCCCTCTCCTCTCTTCCGTCCTATTCAACCAGAACAGCTGCAACCCAGTCGTCTGCCCCGTGATATTACACGCCAGCCAGCCTCCAAACGCGGTACTGTTCCACGTCAATCCAACCTCCGTGCTAGGAATGGAGAACCCGGCATCACCGACACCAACATCGATAGATACAAGATAGGCCCCCTTGATCGCCGTTTCCCCTCCCGTTTCCACTCCCAGTTCCCCTCCCATGGCGAACCCCCACGGATAGCTCGTTCCGAGGTCGAACTCCTGGTATCCGCCAACTGGATTCAGGAAAGCCTTGGTGGCTGCGCTCTGAGCGATGAGCGTGACGTTATTCGTGCCCGCACCGGAATGGTAGGTTGAGACGTAGTTGTTGACGACGTCACTTGGGTTCTCGTTGAGAGGTTGAGCTTGGAGATAATACTCGACGCCGACGGGAGTGAAGCTTGGGGTGGCGGTGGTGGTGGTGGTAGATGGGGGAGCAGTCGGAGGAGTTGCGTTACCTTGAGGAGCAGCGGTGACGGCTGCGAGGAGAGGGAGGGTGGCGATGATGATTCCGGGGATCATGTTGATGATTTGAGAGAAGTGGAAGACTTGTGGGAGACTATCTGTGATCTGGGAGGTAATATCTGGGTGTGACTGGGTTCTAAATCATAGGCATTGTGGGTTCTTCTTATAAATCTTTCACGCCTACACGAATCCCGAATGCCGAGAACGCATCTCACATCATCATCTCAGGCGAACTTGTTCGTATCTTGCGCAAACTCTCGATCCTTCTCTGTCTCACTTCATCTGGTGACTTCGTATTCATAGTCATCATCCTTCCAGAAATTAAATCCCATTTCTCATTTGTAGATACTATTATACTCCCTCCAATGAACGCTGGACATGCTTCTCTGTTATTTGAACGCTACACTGCATACGAAGTGATAAAAATATCTTCAATGCACCACCACTATAAATATTTCCCCACAAGAATGTGTATGCAAAAAGACGTCACATCCCGCTTGTGGGCTTCCTATTTGAGCGCATATCGGCAAAGGTCGGCAGTCAGCCGCAGTAGCTCGGAGTGGGAGAAGTATGTAATCAGCATGAGCCTTGGAGACATGCAACGACGATCCGTCCCCTGCATGAAGGCATCCGCTTGATCGTTCCCTGGGTCGTGTCGAGAAGAGAGAAAGAAGAAAAAAAGGAAAGGGAAAGAAAACAGATTTCTCGTGGCCAACAACTCGCCATCAATGACCTTCTTCCAAACTTGGATCAATCAGTCTTGATCTCTTCTCACGCTCACGACTCTTGTTCCCATTATCCGAGTCCGACACTCAAGGCACCAAAGGCAAATAACTGCATCTCTGCCAGACGAGCAAGTGCTATGCTGAACATCACGCATGCATGGCAAGGTGGCCATCCATCGCCGTAGATATACTTTCGATTCTCATGCGTCTCCTTTCACCCAGGTCTCGACGTTCGGTCTGCTAAGGGAGAGGGTCAATAGATTCCGGCAGTGCCCACGCTATGTTCGACGGAGTTCTCGACAACGTTATAATACAACGGCTATGGTAAGGCTCAAGTGGGTGAAGTGAAGTGAATTAAGCCAAACGCTCGGTCTTAGAATTAAGGCAAGCCAGCTTTCTATTCTTAAGGCTCTGGAGAAAAATCATTCATTTGGCTATGGGATGGATGTATCGAATGAGTTCGACTTCCACTTATTTAAAAGCTGCACTTTCATGATAGTCCTAAGCCTTTTGCCCTCTTCCTCAGCTCTTTCCTCGTTCGTTCTGCGTAGAGAATCACTAAAAGGGCGGAAATCGCTCCCTGAATCTCTGGGCATTCGAGGGGGGGGGGGGGGAGAAGAGAAAAAAGGCAGTCGTGAGCGATTCCCCACCACGCTTTCCGAATCTGTCTTGCGTAGGGAACCAACGCCAATGCAGAATTTGTGTTCTTGAAGGCTAGTTTAGTAAATATCAAGCCATAATACCGGTCAAACGAGAGATGACGAGCTATAAACCCCTTTAGACTATATGAAAAATCACTCAGATATTCTGGAAAAATGCGGAAGAAAACGCTGGACGGCAAAAAATGTTTCGTACCCCAATGTCCGATGAACGCTGATAGCAGTGTTTTAGGAAATCTGGTTGTAGAAATGGCAAAGTGAAGCAAGTGGAGTATTTACGTGAGCCCCATCGAAGACGCTCGCCTTATCACCTTTGATGGTTATACACGCTCCATTTAGGGGAATAGGACAGACTTCTGCTTGTCATATTTGCAATTGAGCCGCGTTTAAGTTGAATCTGAAGACAGCTTCTGAAGCGAAGCCCTAGCTCTTGGGGAATTAATCCTCACTTTGATATACCTTTGCTTCAAGTCATCCCTTCAACTTGATAAGTCTACGGCTCTTCCTCTTTGATAAAACCGATTAACCCAATATCTTCACTTGCTGTACACAAATCAAACCTCACTTTGCCTTCGGAATACAACTCATCTTGTCCCTGAGCCACAACAGACGGTCCTCTACCCCATTGATCCCAACAATTCAAGACTCTCATAACCACTCAATCACATCAGAACAAGCTCCACCTGAATGCAACACGTTTCCTCCACCATCCACGAAACCATCACCAAGGCAATCCTGACCGTGAAGACTCCGGCAACGATTCAAAGGTGAAGATTCGGCCCACTCACTACCATTCTTCGCTCTGCTCTGATCCCTCAATCTAGATGGATGACAAGGTCGTCATCGATTGCATCTGCCCCTCGGTGCTGACGATTACCATCAGTGGCGCCGCTCACAGTGTCACTATCGCTACGGATGCGATCAGGATCAGTGGTCCGGGTGGGGGAGTTGGTTACAATTTGGACTCACTTCCACTCATCTATGATGCTGCTACCTTGGGCGGAAAACTAAACATCTGTGACGACGATGGAAAACTGGTGTATTGTTGGCGGTCATCGATAACGCCGCAATCGATGCCCTCAGCTTCCATTCAAGCAAGAGCCGATAGCTCTTCGTCCTCTTCATTGGGACCAGCCCCACGGACAGAGATGACCCAACCGGACTCCAGTCTTGTTTCTGCCCTAGCTATCCAGCCAAGGAAACGTCGCAGTACCTCTGTCCGTACAGATGATACGAGTTGCATGTCCACTGGTATGTCGCCCTGCTCAGGCTCATGTTCATGCAGTTGCTAAGACTTAGACAGCACCATCTGCAGCAACGCTGAGTCCCAGCGGCAACTTCGGCTCTGACAGGTCGGATGCGCAACACAGTATCTATGATGACACAATAGAAGAGGCCCGTCAAAAATCCGAGGGTCCTGTGAATGAGGAACTCGTTGTTAGATTTGGCAGGCATCTTCAAGAGTTGAAGCGAAAGCATAAATGGGCCAAATTGCGGGAGTATACCCTCTGTCAGCAATGCGGAGATGCACCCAATGAGCCAGTGGTTACTAATTGCCTTCATGTGTTTTGCAGTGAATGCTTGACGCGTTTGCACTTTAAGCTAGCGGAACAAGATATGGACGGGGTAGCTTGCCCGAAATGCGACGAGACCATCACAGAGACACAACCTTGCAAAGGTCTGAAAGAGCTCCGGCAGGATGCTTTACGGGAGGCTGGCCACCACGTCGGTAGGAAGGATGATCGAAAGATTGGGAAAGGCTACATTGACCTTGAGGACGAAGACACAGATCCACCAGCCTCAAGATTCACGGTCGCCCAGAAGGAGTTTCTCGTCAAGTCGATCAACAGCTTAATGAGGCACAGATATGGCGAATGCTTTCGAAACTCTCTCAGTCCCACCTCGGAATTGATGGATCTCAGTACGATGAGGAGCAAAATTCAGGATGGTCTTTATTCTTCCATTGAGGCCCTCAGAGCAGATTTTGATCGAATGGAGCAAACGTATCCACCTGGGGACGCTTACCACCACAGACGTACCGAGCAGGCTCGAAGCCTTCGGACTGTTTTTGAGACATGCATGGGCGAATACCCTGGAAATTGTGAGGACTTGGCCCCTCGAAAGAAAGCGAAGGCGAGGAAGCCTAAGGCCCCATCTGCTGGAACCACTGCGCGGGCAGAGGCGTCTTCCCGGTCGCGAGCAGCGAAGACTGCGATGCAGGGTAAAAGATATCCCAGAGACCACTGGTGATTCCGGAAAGTATGGTTTTAGCCTTGAAGCGAACGGCATGTGTACGCAATCAACCACAGAAGATAGTCCTCTCCGGTAATTAGATTTGGAAGAACATAGAAGCCAAGCATTCAACATATAGTGGCAGAGCAGCGTAGTCTTTGAAATATGAAAACTGCGTATGAGATGGTGACAGTAGATATGGCAGGCAAAGCAGAAGGGTTTCAGCCCCGAACCAATTGGCTTTTCGGAGCTGCATGCAGTAAGAAGCAATTATTCAGAGAGAGGCATCAGGTCAGTTTAGCAAAGTAGTCAATAGATTCTACCCTGTACGAGCACCCATCATGCCAATTTCGTGAAATCCTAAGCCATCCAAGTCTAACTCTTCTGGACTACTGCCGGCGCCTCACTTGCCGACACATCTCCAAGCTTCCCTTCCTCCGGAAACGCCCTCAAGAGATCCATGAATTTATCAATCGGAGCCGCCAGCATCGCCGCGAAGTTCTCGAAGTATGGCTTGTTTGGCGCCGATGGGTGAGATCGTGTAGGAAGTATGAGCTTCGTCTTCTCGAAGTAGTTGGCAAGACTTTTGCTCTCCTCCCTTGTCAAGATTTCTTCGAGCCTGGGCATATCCTCATTGCTTTCATGCTCAATGTGCTTGTGCAGGTCCGTCATGAGGATATCGAGAAGTGGGAAGAAGTCTTTGTTGTCGGGGCTCATGTCTTGGAGTTCGTAGAGGTCTTTCTTCACCTAGTGGCGGTTAGATATGGCCTCATCCCTTTGAACCGATACACACACCGCCATATGCTGCTCGCGGTCCACGTCGGCCATCTCCTTCCCCTTTTGACCGAGCTTCTTCTCCATGACCGGGTACAAGGTCAGCTCCTCACTGACAGCATGACGTGCGAGAGCCCAGGTGAATTGGTTCCTCCATTCAATCTTCTCTTGCAATGTGCTCGCAGTCTTGATGTTGTCGGAGTACACGTCGATGGCTCCGTGATCAGCACCAATGGCTTCGGAGATGGTTCGTTGGTTCTCGTCGTGGGCAGGGTCGCCTGCCAGCTTTGCTACGACAGGTTCCAGTGCTGACATGTTGATCGTAGGTCGTAGGTGCTATGAAGGTGTAGAGCGAAGCGTTGGAGAATGCGAGATGGGATTTGTAGGCTATTCGAATCTTGGTGTTTGGTAGTCTACTTCATGTGCGTCATGAAGTAATCGAGGTAGGTTACATGCCGCAAACGCCGCCTGAGGTCTAGCAATCCTCGGGTTTCGCAGCCGTAGAACCGTGTAGCGGGCATATTCTCATTCTCGATAGATGGTACTGCTGCTGATGACCCTTTGAAGAGAATCAAGAATGTCGCGGTGCAACCGTATTCCAACGCTGGCGATGTTCCGTCAAGAATTTGGGTTGCCACCAAAATTGGCGGGACGGGACTCCCCACCATTGAGTTGACGGCATCAAAATTTGCCAGCAGCATGACGTCGCCACAAGCCATGACGATAACGATGTGGGCAACAACCTATCATCATCGTCGAGAACCCGACTGAAGAGAATCCTTACACCGGAGCATTTTCTTGCATCCAAGTCCGCATAATACCCATTACCATCTCCATTCTACCACCAACCTGATTGAACCTTTCGCCTTCTCCTAAAGCACCCGTACACGCTGACATGATGCCCCTCTCCAAGGATTCATTCTCCAAAATACCCACTTGCTATGCAACAGTATCCGTTGGCACACCTGACCACCCATTGGACAAGAAGCTAGAAGCAATCGCCGCGGCCGGCTTCCAGGGCATCGAACTTGGCTTTCCTGATCTACTCTCTTTCGCCTCAAAGAATTTAGGCAAGGAAGTAGGGCCACAAGACTTTGAGGTGTTATGCACCGCAGGGCTGGAGGTGAAGAGGATGTGCGAGGAGTTGGGACTCAAAATTGTGATGCTCCAGCCGTTCTCGAACTTTGAGGGTTGGAAGCCGCAGTCAGAAGAGCGGAAGGACGCTTTCCGACGTGCAAAAGGTTGGATTAAAATAATGGAGGCTGTGGGCACGGATATGCTGCAGGTAATTGGACCAGATGCTTCAAACTTGGCCAGGCTGACACAACCGTTTTGCAGGTTGGCTCTACCGATTCTCCCATCCCCACCTCTCGAGACGTCGTCACCTCAGATCTCAAACAACTCGCCGATCTACTCGCCCCCCACAATTTCCGCCTTGCATACGAGAATTGGTGCTGGTCTACACACGCTCCGGATTGGAAGGATGTCTGGGAAATAGCCAAGAAGGTCGACCGTCCAAACTTCGGCCTATGTCTCGATACGTTCCAGAGTGCTGGAGGTGAATGGGCCGACCCTACCACGAAATCTGGGCTGTTAGAAGGAGATGTGAAGATGGAAGATCTGCAGGAAAGGTTTCAAGAGAGTCTAAGGAACCTGAGTGCCACTATTCCAGCAGAAAAGATCTACATACTACAAGTCTCGGATGCATACAAGCCAAAAGAACCTTTGTACCCGAGTTCCGATGAGAACGGCATGAGACCGAGAGCGAGGTGGAGCTCGTGTCTGAGGCCTGTGCCATTCGATGGGGGATATCTTCCTGTTGTTGATTTTGCAAAGGCCGTATTAAAGACTGGTTTCCGTGGTTGGCTCTCGACAGAGGTCTTTGATGGTGGACCGTCGGGACAGGATCAGGAGTGGAATGATATGGCTGGCTATACCAAGAAAGCGATGCAGGCTCACGAACGACTTCTGCGAGAAGTAATTGAGTGAATATGGAGATCAGTCTATCTTGAAGTCTACGGGAGCCGGACCCAGTCTATGATTTTGCCAGTCCCCGTCCTCAAGTACAAATTTGATCCTCATTGTGCCAATTACCATCACCACCGCCGCCTCTACCGCTTCCGCCGTAATCTCCACCGCCATTATCACCCCCGTCCCCGCCATAGCTATCTGCTATCTGCCCATCACTCCGTGAACCTCCATCTTCTACCACTCTACCTTCTTCCTCGGTGCCATTCTCCTCCTGCTCAGCATACTCCTGAGATGACCCAACTCCCAAGCCGCCTTCGCCAACAGGAACTTGAGTAGGCTGGTGCCGCCATCATTGTCCTTAGGTGGCACTCGGAGTCCCTGCTGTCGCCGGCCTTCTTGGGCTCGTCGGGCTAGGTGTCTGCTCAATTGATAGTCGGCTTCCTTGGTTTCGGGCTCGTCGCGCCATAAGCCGAAGATGTTAAGCTTGGACAAGACGGTCGCACTCGGTATTTCGGACTCGTGTTTTGACTCGACAGAGGGCAAGATTGGGTAGACTGCCGCTGCGCTAGAGAAAGGCTTTGCTATATTGCTTCGATCTTGTATAACTGTGGTCGGAGTATGTGGCCATGAGCTTAAGGACCTTGGGCAGCGCAATGCCATGGTTGGTGGGATTTTCAAGACAGCTCGACCAAGGGATGGTACTACCGACATTTCGTTCAAGCTTTCGATAAGGGGCGCTTGCAGTGTTGTAAAGATGTGGAACGAAGGGTTCAAGCCTGCAAATTTATGCATTTTCGAAATTTCGTGAGCCACGATAATGAGTATTTTCGGGTCAGATCGGATTTCCGTGAGCAAGTTTTGAGGTAACCACAGCTTCATCTCATGACCCAGCAGGTTCAACATCACTATTACTATTGCGTGTAACCAGGTTTTTCTTTCCAGTGCCCTTTTAAGCACCAGTTTTTGACAACATTCTTCCAATATTGTCAACTGATCCTTTGCCCATCAACCCACCTCAAGGCCGTTAATTACTCCTCGCATCATGGCGGCATCACGGGCAGTGTTCCGTTTTTCCGGCAATTCATCAACCGTTGACGCCCTTCAAATCTGTCCATCTGAACAGTTCCTTCTCCACGTTTTGATGCTGTCCCACCTGCGCCACGCCTTAACAACTCGTGCCAAGTCTGGTGCCTCACCTCCAAAAAGAAGCTCCTTCACGGTGATCGAAGACTACAAAAGAGGAGTAGTCTTCCGTTCGGGAAAGCATTGTGGAGAGAAGGATTCAGGGCTTCGTGGAGCTTTCCGGTCTTCGACGAAGTCCGCAAGGTCGATATAAGGACTAGGACCATGCAAATTCCATCCCGGGAACTTATGACTACATATGTGGATGCTGCTGCTTATGGTAAAGGTTGGAGGTCCTTTGAACGCACTCTGCAGTATTGAGGGTTGCGATGCCGCTGTCAACGGAGCCGCTCAGGTATGTGTATATCGGATGGCCCTTTCTCTCCTTCTTGCCTGAAAATCTGAGAGACTGATCTGCAGATTCACGATAGACGTCAGTGCGCGACCAACTTTCCCGTGCAGCATTCGACGAAGTGTTACACGATCGAAACTGAGCCAAATGGTAAGCATATCTTGCTTTAACGTTCAGTGGGAGTCGAATGCACCGAACGCTCAATTACCAACCTCACGTATCGGAGCTGTTGCAACGTCATGTCTGCCACATTGTCTAGCTCAAAGGCCCACCCTTGTTTTCAGAAGATCATGTGGTAGAAGTAAGACTGCTTTCCCCCTGAGGGCCGCGTTACCGAAGCCGAGCGAGTTCGTCTTATCGAAGCTTCAGCCGGGTCCGAAGCTTCACTCAAGCTCGTGCAAGCTGGCCGCGAACTCGAAGACGCACCTCTTAGCCTTCGATTGAGAGAGATCCAGAACAGAACCATGCCCAGATTGCGGCGGAATAGAACACGACGATGATAATCATACCGGCGAGCTTGGACGCAAGGGTGGCTCGAGTGTTGGAGACGTTGAACCGGCACTTGGAGAGCGAGCGGAGGTAGGAGAACCATGATGATTGAGTAGCGCCGAAAAGTTCGATGGCATTGCGAGCCAGGGACTAGAGCGTCGATGCCAGCAATATGGCTTTACCAAGAAGAACCGTTACTTTATCTGAGGGTCTTGTCAACAAATGGCGAGATATAGCCACTGAGGTAATTGTTGATACCGACGAACAACGAGACTCTGTCGTCGTCTCGAGGAACAAGACATGGGTTTTCTCCCCCCATTATAAAAACATTATCAGCAAAAGAAAGACGAAGAAAATAACTCTTTGAACGACGGATGCAAATATCTACCCCGTTAAACATGGGCAATAGATCGTAAAGGAACGTGAAATCGTAGCATGTGATGCAGCAGAGTGACAGGAAGCGCTGAAGCTGGGCCTGGAATGCTCACTTTGCATAATCTGAACCGGGTCACCGACGCATAGCTGACATGTACGCAAGCCACGAATCAAACAAAGAAGTAGACGTGTCAAGGTTGAATCTCTCTGCAGAAGATCGATTTCATGATGGACGGACAAGTATGCGGCTTCCTCATTGACTTGATTACTATGTTATGGTCTGGTACTGGCTGTTCTGTTGGAGAAAGTATGACAACAAGACGCGCCGTCCATCGACTGCAAGCTACGTACATGATGACAGTGTGGCTCTATTGAACCGACTCGGGCTGTGTCTCCATGAACCTGTGAAGCCGATCCATAAAGGCCCGATTGGAAGCCGAACGTGCAACCGCCGAACGTGCAACCCAGCGATAGTCCTGTCTCCAATCCAGTGCCATTCTGAGATGCAGACCGCCTTGCCTGGCATCCTCGTTCATGTTCGGCAGGCTCGTTTCGAAAAGCTCCACGTTCCATTGGTCGACTTCGTTGGCGGCCCTGGCACCCAACTGCACCACGAGCTCCTCCATCTTGCGAGAGACTCTCAAGCTGGCCTTTACGAAATCCAAAAGCACGACGTAGAGACTCTGGATTCCTTTCATCGTGCACCAGTGCAGCCGCAAGCGTTTCAGCCCTGGAGGTAAGACGGAATCCAAGGATGGCATGGTAGAAGCGATGTTGCCGTATTGGCCCAGCAAGACGTTTCCTTGAACGGAGAGATACTTCAGCTCGGAAAAATGGCGGAGGCTACCGATGGTCCAGCCATCGCTGTCACCGGGGCTCAGGAAGAAATGCATGGAAAGACTCTGCAAGGTGTGACTCGCAGGGCCCAACGCAACCGCTAGTGGCGCAAGCGAGAAATGCTCATGCTGCCAAGCGAGCCGGTGGTCGGAGACTGACTCCAGGGTAAGATGCTTGAGTGAAGATAGCTGAGGCAGGAGTAGAGAGAGCAAGGTCTGAAATTTGTTGCAGACATTGTTGATATCGACGGCGATGGTAAGAGCGGTGATCGTTTGGCCAGCTGGAAGAGTGTTGGACCGGATCATGTTGGACAGATGCAGCACGTTCGAGTGAGGAGCTTTGTAGTCGTATCGGATAACGCCGCTGCCCCTGTGCTGCATAAAAGGGGGGAAGGCAGGGTAGTCGGCGCGGTCGAATACAACGTTTTCGTAGAGGTGTTGTATGGCTATGGCGTGGATTCTCTTGTTGGCGAGAGCGAGCTGGAGCAGGTGAGAGGGTTTAGTAAAGTTGGAAATGATGAGGATGATCAGCTCGTCGGAGAGATCGAGGACTACGGCCATCTTGGTACTCAGCGTAGCTTCAACCAAGCTCACGGTTACTTGTAAGGTGCTGAAGGTCGGAGGCTTTGAAGGTGTTTACCGAATGTGTATTGGTAGTGATCGCCACATGAGGCAAGTTCTGACGGCCCTCGGTTACACTTTCCCTCAGAACAGCCTCAGATTTTCACACCTCCGGACAGCATGACTGCTTCTAAAGATCTTTTATTTTCCCTTGTCTTTCAGCTTGAGAGGTTTATCAATCTGGTTTGTAGGACACAGACTGGCTGACAATCGTACCTTCAATCATTATGTAAGGATGAACAACTCCGCAGCAGTGGCAGCTTTGCCATATCAAGAACCAACCATCAATACCATCCTCATTCTCTCATCATTTCTCTAAATGTCATCAACCACCTCCTGGACCGCCTCATATACTGCGGCCTTATTGGCCAAGTGCTAGTTGGCGTAGCCTTTGGCACTGAACAAGCCATCGTGCAGTTAGGATACCTTGGACTCATCCTTCTGGTCTATGAAGGCGGCCTGAACACAAACTTCAAATCCCTAAAAGCAAACGCCGGTCTTTCCATATTGGTGGCTTTGACAGGCATCTGCTTGCCGATTGCCTTTGCCTTCTGCCTGCGAAGCCTCGCATCTGCCACGCCCTTGCAGGCATTTGCTGCAGGAGCAGCTCTCTGCTCCACAAGTCTGGGCACAACTTTTACTATTCTGAATACTAGCGGCTTGAACAACACGAGACTTGGTACTGTCTTGACGAGCGCAGCTATGATGGATGATCTTGTCGGTCTCGTGCTCGTTGAGGTCATATCCAAATTGGGGTCGGGTCCCTCTTCTTTCCACGCCATTACTGTAGTGAGACCCATCTTTGTCTCCATCGGGCTGGTGCTCTTTGTGCTTTTGACTTGCCGTTATCTGGTCAAGCCTATCTCCTTATTGATCGGTGGTCCTAGTTCATCAGCAGTGATGCGTGCTATCCGGAAGCAGCCCGATAAGGCTACACTTGTCACCCATACAACTCTGCTCTTTGGTATCGTGGCAGCTGCAAGCTATGCAGGTACCTCGAACCTGTTTGCAGCTTACCTTGCTGGTGCTTCAATCAGCTGATACATTTCCGAGGTGGCTCAACTAGGTGACGTCGACAAGAGTGAGCGTATCGAGGTGACGCAGTTAATTGTGAGGAGATCGGTACAACAAGCTGCCCACAACCAAAGTAGTGTTACTACGAATGAGAGTCGGCACGCCCCTGACGATAGGACAGACAGAGGCGAACAGCTGGACGTGCCCGGGGTCGCTATTACTCAAGCAATCCAAGAGCCAGATGGACGGAACCGCAAGACAGTGCAGGCGCAAGGCTCTCTGAGCGGAGTATCCATCTTTGGGAAGTTCATTGAGCAGCCTGTCGCAAGGGTTCTGAAGCCGTCCTTCTTTGCAAGTGCCAATGGTTTCGGTTCAGTCTGGGGTCTAAAAGCTGACTGCATGTGTCAGACTTCGATAGGGTTCTCCATCCCGGTCACGCGCATGTTCACCGGTGCAGTGGTCTGGCGAGGTATCATCTTTACGATTTTGATGCTTATCGGGAAGCTTGTGACAGGCATATGGCTCATCCGCATTGCTGCTCCCCCTGGCACTATGATGACAAAAATCAAGGCGTTCCTGAGCCATTTGAATGGACCACAATGGAGCTGCTTGGGATTGGCAAAATCTGCAAAGTGCTCCAATTCAGAGGCAAGGAACACAGCCAACGATTCAGGATCGAAACCTATGCCCGATGTTCGCATCGCTCTCGCCACGGATAGCGAACAAGGCCCCAGACAGTCCAGCGACGGACCCTCGCAAACTCTAGCTCTGTACTGCCTATATCTCCAAAAGCGACCATTTCGACGACAAAGCCGCGCTCCCTCTATCCCGGTTCTATTGTCGGAACAGTAATGATGGCCAGAGGAGAGATCGGATTTCTCATCGCAGCTTTAGCAGAGAGTACAGGGATCTTTGCCTCTCAGTATGACTTAGCAGCTTGAGAAGACAGTGGCTCCATAATCTATCTTGTGGTGATATGGGCAGTTGTCCTCTGTACTATCATCGGTCCAGTATCGGTAGGCTTATTAGTCAGAAGAGTCACGAAGCTGCAACGGCAACGGCGAGAGCATGGTGGCGGTGAAGATCCCTTGGGAACATGGGGTGTGCTATGATCCAAGGACAGTGTTCATCCACAGCGAAATGTCGAGGCACTGCTCCGTTAACTTTGGCCCAAGGTTGTATGAGTACCACAGGGTCATTCACCTGACGGTCATCGTTTCACGGGTATCGGACCATGGTAATAATACGCGGCATGACAAGTATGCTGTCGCGGAAAGTTGCCTTTTCCGTGAGACTAGGACACCCACAGCGGCCTGTTTCCATGGGCTTGGTAATAAAGACATTACAGGGACTCTGCGTCATTGGCGCTGGCCGCTGGGCAGTTGGACGGAAACCGCATCGTCATAGCTTCATCGTCAAGCTATGACGATGCTCTCTTACACGGGCAACGAGGTGACATTCCGCAGGATATGCTGCGACACGCTCTTCTAGATGCAAGCTAGAAGAGCTTCTACAACTTGTCATTTGTTAGAAGTCTGGCTCTTCCATGCATCATGCACCCCGGCATCGATTTATTTCCCGAGGATCGTCAACTAATTCTCCGAAATTCAAAGCGCACCAATAGCAGACCTTTTTGTTACGGGCTACCCCGCATCCTTCACCAGGAACGTCCATGCTTAGCGTCTGAATCAGCCTGCTTCCCTTTGACGCCATATAAGTCCATTTGGTATTAAGATCAACTTTGGCCGCTGACCTTGCTGGCTTGGCCAAGGATGACAACACGCAGTTGGTGCGCTTCTCCAAGAGCTCAGAAGCCCATACTGCTTCATGATGCTGATCTTACTCAGATCCACAACAGCCTCGATACACAACGTCGACCTCATACTACCGCCAAGGTTTCTCAAACGAGGTATGTCGTCGGCTCGGCTCGAATGTGACAATCGTGGGAAACAAACGATGCAGACGGCACGGCACAGAAAGATCTGGCGTGAAGACACTCTCATATTTCGAGATTTGTTCTCCGTCTCCATCGACTACCATATATGCGACCGTAGCTTCGGTGCTAAGATCGGTATTAGAGCACCAATAAAATTACAATTATGGGACTGCCCCTGGATTTTGAACCGCCACCAACGCGGCCGCTCGGACATATCCTCACGTGCTTGTCGACATCTGAAAGCAATCCCGTGCATGAGATTTGTGTGGCGATCTAAGCCATGGGCTCCGCATTGACCATTTCGTGGTGTGCCATATGGACGGTCGTATAGACAAAATCACGACCTTCCCTGTCTATCTATTCATTTTCGCATGATACTCGAAACAAGCTGTGCAGCAGAACTATTCTACTGCAATTCGCCTGCTTTGAGTTTGGATGAAACTCTCCAAGAATCATGAAGCAAGAGACTTTTACACGTCCTCCCGATGGCGATGTTGATAAAGGATGGGCTATTCTGGCGATTTGCTGGGCCTTCATTGCGTGTGCATTCATCTCCACGATGCTGCGCGTGTGGGTCCGCTCACGGATTACACACAACTTGGGAGGAGACGATTATGTTGCAGTCGCCGCCATGGTAAGGGCCCGCTCCCGTTGTAGCGATATATCCTCGTTCGTAGCGCACAATCATTGACGTGTCAACCTTGACTAGATGACGTCGTTGTTCGGCGCTGGGTTGATTACGGCGGAGGTTCTCAACGGACTGGGAAGACACGAGTACTACTTGACTTCTGCTCAACGACGACTGTTCCAGGTCCTGGGCTGGGCCGACTGGATCCAGACGTTCATTACTCTAGCGCTCATGAAAATCTCGATTTGTCTATTCCTTCTCCGCATAGTCGACACCAAGCAAGTGGTTCGAGGGATGCACGTTGTAATATCTTGCATTACTCTTTTCACTGCAGTGAGCATCTTCTTGTTCCTCGGAGTCTGCAGACCTCTCAGAGCGTACTGGGATGTTGGCGTCAATGGAGCGTGTCTGTCGAATCATCAGGTCGAATCCGTTGTCCTTGCACAAGGCAGTAAGTCGAATTTCAAACAGTAATAACGCAAGCATTACATTCTGATCACAGACGTCAACAGTCCTTTCAATAATATCCGACCTCATACTGGCCGCTCTTCCGGCGATCTTCCTACGAAACCTCCAGATCGGATTACGGACCAAGGTAGGCTTGTGCCTGCTCATGGGCCTTGGTGTCTTGTATGTAGGCTAGTGTTCCATACAGAAAGTCATTCTACTGACCAGGTGCAGCACTGCCGTCTGTTGTACTGTCCGGACCGCCCTATCTGGCTCCGTCACGAACCCAGACCTGACTTGTGAGTTACTGCGGTCGCTATACGTAAAGACAGATCAAGTTAACAGTTGCAGGGGCTGCCACCACAGGCGTCGGCTGGAGACTGTAAGCCACCCCGCCCACCGAACCTCCGCCCCTTGGTATTCACACGAGCTAATCATCGCTAGACCCGAAGTCAACATCGGCATCGTCTGCGCCAACGCGCCGGTCATACGCCCTCTCTACCTCTTCTTCCGCGGCAGGCTAGCATCGCAGATACGATTCAACACCGGGGGCGTCAGCAAACAGAGCATGTGGCCCAGCAACACCCCACGCGCTGCAGTGTCGCCGGGGTGGAGGGACGAGTCGAAGGAAACTAGCGTGGGTGATACCAGCGTGAGTTTGGAAATGGGGCTGCATCCGCACGACGACGTCCAGCCGCAGAGCCCGCTGAAGGAAAAGCCGTACTTTATCATGGGTGGTGGACGCTGATCGACTGCTTTGATGAAACGATTGGTTTACCTCATGCTCTATCTGATCAGTGACTACTGTATGATAATAAGAAAAAGGCCTTTTCCTCTTCCATACGATGATTTTCAGTTCGATCCTCGAGCAATTTCAACCCAGTGCTGCTGCCTAACGAAAGGAGCGCTAATTTACGAGTTTCACAATCCTGATTTTGGTACGTATGCGATACAGAATGCCTGAAAGGGCGACAGTAGAGGGCTCTGACGTCTTGAAAACTGTGCAAGAAACCGGTATCAAGCCAGAATAACGGATTGCAGGAACACAGAGGAGGGCCACGTTTGGCAACGGACAGAGCGTATCGACTCTCCGACCTCTGAGTCTTCTCAAGTCATCCACCTCTCCGACTGCCGGCCGAGCAGCCGCGCCCCTGATTCGCGATTCAAGTAGCTCCTTGAAGGGAGCGTTTGATAATATACACTTGCTCAAAGCGTGAACTCTCTATGCTCACTTAGAGCCTACGATACTAGCGCAAGCATTGATTCCAAGATCAGCCATTTCTTTGATGGCGACGAGAGCGAAGGGACAGTCGAGGGTCGCATGCCGCTTCAAAAGAGGTCGCATGCCGCTTTCAAGAGGCGATACGCCGTTGACGGTTTGGGAGGAGCTGGGGAGCTTGTAGGGACGTGCGATGGGGAAAAAGGATGGAAGGGTTCCGGGCTGCTCCGGTTCGTTGCTTGGTGGAAGGAGTCTCGGAACGATGATCGCTCGCTCCTCTTGCAGCCACGAACAGGACCGTGAGTGAGGCTTATGGCTTCCCACGAGAGCGTCGACCACATTAGCTGCATCCCCAAGGCTTGGTGATGCCGGCCCACCACTCCAGGGCAAGGAAGTAGGTATGTAGCACAGCTGAGCAACCGCCAATCGTGATGATGCCTGGCGTGTCGGGCATCGAGAAAAGTTTGGAATGCGTGGCCAGAACGGATTTCACATGAGCAGGTGTCTGACAGAGGAGTATGAGTGTGACGATGACAGCTCCACCGATTGGAAAGATGGTCTAGGACCACCAACGCTCGCTGACTGACCGTCTGAGTCAGAACGCCTGATGTCACTGGTCCTGCAAAGCTCGCGATGCGGATCCAAAGTCCTTGTCTCCTGGCCAACTAGCATTGCCTTCTATACTCGAGTCCGAGGCCACCTACCTACCACTCGTGGAAGCTCCTGGAATCCTGACCATGGAGGAGGATTTTCTTCCGGTTTCTGAGCAGCGAAGGGTAGCCGTCCTAGATCTGAGCCCGCTTCGAGATCGATGGCTCAATCATGTCCTCTTTTTATCAAGTAAGACTTGTCATCCAAAAAGATGTCAGTGCAATTCTTACCGTCAGATCCTGCGGACGCATCCCCGAATGTTGTCGTAAAAGGATCAGCTACCTCCCGTTATTCACCCTTGGCAGATCTCGGCATATCGGATTCCTGTGCCTCTCGCCAGTTGCATCAACCTAGTACGTGTGTGACAAGACCGAGCCGAGGGTGCTGAGCAACTGGTCATAGACAGCATTCGGCGTGAGAGTGGACGATTTTTGGATGAGGTTCGTCCAGCTCCGTCTGTATTTAGAAGCAAACGTTGGTTAGTGGTATGAGAGCAGTACCGCACCTACAACGAGTTTGACCTTTTGGCAGCAGTTCAAGCGCTTCTCACCTATTCCATCTTGGTCTTCTTCTCATCGAGTAGCAGCTTGCAGTCATTGGTGGATGAAGCCACTATTATAAACATTCAGCAATTTGCTTACCGCTCCGCAATCGTTGGCTCCGGCCTTATAACAAAGGCAGAGAAGGACCACACTCGTCCAACATGGGAGGAATGGATCCTATAGCGCCGCGCCAACCTTGTACTCTACTATCCCGAATGCGTCTTCACAACAGCCAACAACTTGCCAAACTCCCCGTGCGATGAACTTAGAATCTTGTCAGCACCCGAGAGCAAAGCATTATGGCAGTCTTAATGTGAGGAGCAGTGGAAGAGCGCCTACAATGGCTGGCTAGCCAAGTGGGAACATTTGTGCTTTTACAATGGGAGAATTGATGAGGAAGCCCCAGGGAGAATCAGTAGCAGAGGAGAGAAAGCATATGTGGCTGACGGAAGTAGATGAGTTCGGGATGACGATGATGGTGGCACCAGGAGATGCAGGAAGTGATTGGGCAACTGGGCCTTTTTTGGATACACACCTGAGGCAAGCTCGCTGACTTTATCCATCTACATCCACATCCGCTACACCATCATATTCACTATACTCCTCTCCCCTCTCCCCCCTCCCCCTCTCCCCCTCATAAATGTTTCAGATGGGTCGAGAAGATAACCTAGAACGATAACGATCCGAATTGTTGATCGACCAAGGACTGTACACAGGCAAAAAGGTATAAGGTCGAGATTTGAACAATGTTGAGGGAACAAGCCTAATGCGTGATGGGAGAAGGGAAGATAGTCAGCGCTTTGGCACGAATCGAGAAAAGAAGCCAAATTTTTAACAGAAGCGAGGAGAACTTGCCAGAAAACAGATACAGATACAGATACTTGGCTGCAGCCCAGCCCAAAGTAAGCATTTGACAGTGCTACAGGTGATGTAACATTGCCACCATCACCATCACCAAGACTAAGCATCTATGGATCATCTAAGATTTGGACACCCTTAGTATTCTTGTCAAAGGGCAGTGGAACAATGGGGCAACAATTCCACCATGATTCTCCAAAGCGGAGGGAATGAAAATGCGAGGGCTTGGCGGACATCGAGTTCCTCCGCCGGGTCAACATCCCATGTGCCGCATACCCCGCCAGGCTAGGTATACAAATTCTTCATTTTCCCACTTTCTCTCCCTTTCACTTACGTCTTTTCCTTCCTCAGAACATTATATGACATGAGAACCGAGAACAAATTTCAAGCCTTACTGAAATCACTACGTTGAGAAAAATGGCCGTCCTGGACGAAGAGCTCAAAGCGCCCAATGCTCCTCATGGCGTCACGACCACTGCAAAATCATACAATGATTGGCCAAACGATGCGGGAGTATGTAGAGTTCTTCGCGTACCCTCTTGTGACTCTCGGCTGAGTTGACATTCTTTCCCAGTTTGAAACCTTCCACGATGAAACAGATCCCGTCGAGCTCAAAGTGTCGGGCAGAATTCCAGCCTATGCGGCGTAAGCCCCCTGCAAGGTACTCCGGCGTCCAGCAAACAAAACTGAAGCCTTCGTAGAGGCATCCTCTACCGCACGGGTCCTGGCGGCCATCAAGTCACCACCCCCCAAAACAAAACCTTCGCCGTATCACACTGGTTTGATGGATTCGCGCAAACCCACCGCTTCGAGCTCTTGCCGCCATCGGAGGGGGAGTTCATCACGCGCGTAAGGTACAATTCACGGCACACTTGCGACAACCTCGTTGAGAAAGTCCGCAATTCTGGCGAAATGGCCATGACATCGTTCGGTCAACAACGAGACCCGTGCGAATCCTTTTTCAAAAAGGTCATGAGCTCCTTTCAAGCGGCGACTTCGGGGGGCATCAAAGCCGCCGCGGACGTGAACGTAGGGGTGACGATCAAAGCGAACATGCCGGTGCCCGGCGAGTTGGCCAGCGGCGGAAAGGCGCAGCCCGGTTCAAACGACGACGATTCTTCCCCCAAGATCAACAACCTCTGGCTCAAAACCGACAACGCCACCCTCCAACGCATCGACCCCACGACCCTCGAACCAATCGACGCCGTCCGCCAGCCGAAACTCCACCCGGACCTCAAAGGACCCTTCACGGGCGCCCACTCCCGCACAGACCCCATCACCGGAGATTGGTACAACTACAACCTCGAAGTGGGTCGACAGCCAACGTACCGAGTCTTCTCCGTGTCCGCCAAGACGGGGGAAACCACCATCCTCGCCACTCTCACCGGGGGACCGATCAGGGCGGCGTACCTCCATTCGATCCTCCTGACGGAGCGCCACGTGATCCTCTGCATCTTCTCCGCCTACTACGCCAAAAACGGCGCCAAGGTCCTCTGGACGCGGAACCTGGTGGACGCCATGGACTTCGACCCGGACCGGAAGAACCTCTGGCTGGTGGTCGACCGGCGGCACGGGCACGGCCTGGTGGGCATGTACGAATCGGAGCCCTTCTTCGCCTTCCACCCCGTCAACGCGTGGGAGCAAGCCTCGGCGACGGAACCCGGGAAGACCGACATCGTCGCCGACATCCCCACGTACCCGAACCTCGACATCCTCAAGCGCTTCTACTACCACAACATGAAAGGCACCGCCCCGGGCGCGCGCGACTACGTCGACGGCAAAGGCGCCACGTGCAAAGCCCGCCTGACCCGCTTCCGACTCCCCGACGTCGGCGGCGCCCGCGTCGCCCCGACGGCCCCCCGGGCCGCGCCAGCGCCCTGTCCGTGGCGCCCGCCGGCGACACGCCCGAACTGCCCAGCATCAACCCGCAGCGCGCGACGAAGCCGCACCGCTACATCTACGGCGTCTGCGACCGGGGCAACTCGACCTTCCTCGACGGGCTGATCAAGTACGACACGGCGGCGCGGACGGCGACGGCGCGCGTCGTGCACGCCCAGTCGCCGGGGAGCCCGTCTTCCTGCCGGATCCGGACGGCGGGGGGAAGGAGGACGCGGGGGTGTGCCTGAGCGTGGTGCTGGACGGGACCCGGGGCACGAGTTACCTGTTGGTGCTGGACGCGGGGACGTTTGAGGAGGTGGGGAGGGCGGGGATGGAGGTCGCGGTGCCGTTTGGGTTCCATGGGTGTCATGTTGCGTGTTCGTAGTGTGTGTGTGTGTATATATGGCACGTTGGGGATGGAAGCATATAGAAGCTTTGTCTTCACTTTGTGAAAATCCTCCATGCATGCCTGCATCGAGACTGAAAATGTTGATCATCATCCGCATCAATCAATCGATTCGATACTTCACTTGTTTGCCAGAAGTCAACTCACCACCCTATTACGATTTATCAATTCCATCTACTCAGTCCTCGCATCATCTAGCGCCAGATACCCGGCTGCTCCCCTCGAAGCCCCGTCAAACGTAAATCCTAGAGAGTAAGCCCAAGCAAACCTTGGCCGGTTTCGAACCCAACCCGCAACCCAACTTTAAACTGTCCTGCCTCGCCATTCAGGAAAAGTGACATTTATCCTCCCGTCGATCCCGTGCTCCACTGTCCTTGTGAGCGGCGAGAATCTAAGAAAGACGCAAGGACGGCATTCGAGCCAGTCTCGTTGATTGCAGGGGAAACCCGAAGCGCAACAGGCTAGAAGAAGGGAGCAGGGAATCTTACGTGCATCGGACGCCAGGTCGTGGGAGGGGAATACGTATACATGTGAATGCGCCTTAGCACGCAAAATGCAATAAGGCTGAGGCGAAAGATGTGAGTAAGAAAGCGTACGTATGCATGCAGAGGAGATGGACGTTTCCTTTGAACACACATCATAGATGATGAGGAAGACAGTCTGGTTGAGATTAATGCCGCATGCAACGGAGACGAAGCGTCATCCACTTCGCTGTCGAGACGAGGAAAAAGGCGTTAGGCCTAGGCCAAAACCATCTTGTGTCGCTGGTTTTCATGCACACTCGACAGCCTGATGACTTGTTGCACCCGATCTTCGCCCTTTGATACGGACCGGATCTCTCCGATCCAACCAACTCGTTACAATCGAGTAGTTTAGCCCTCACAGTTTGCACCGGCATGATTGCATAGAGTCGCAAGGTAGGTGGAAAAGGGTGTGCAGGCGGGTAGTACGCCATCAGGAATTTGGCTGAATCATTAGCACTTCCGAGGTCAGTCAGCTCATACATCAACTCTTCATTGTCAGATCGAAGATAAGCTGTGTCCATGCTGTATCAGAAAGTCACAATCAATCCGGCCGGCCGAAGGGACTGCCACGGACCAAAAGGCTGGCAGACCGATAAGAACAGAATGGGCGAAAATTGTTTCAAGCGTAAGGGTTGCAAGGCCGCAAGGCTGCAGCGTTGGTGGTGGTGGTGGCTGCCGTTGATTAATTAATTAAGCACAGCGGATGCTGAAACGAACAACGGTCCCAGGCATGCCATGGCATCGGACCTGTAGCTATAGTATGGCAAGAATAGGCTAGAGATTGATCTTTTTTTTGAAAGGCTTCACGAATCACGACTTGTCAGCTCGACTCCTCCGAGTCACGACGCTCATGTAACAGGTATTGGATGGTTATGCTCGGGTGCTCACCGAGGATGTCCGAGTTCAAAGCTTCTTGTAACAGATGTTGGTTTGGAAAAAGGCAGGTGAAATTGTAAAGTAGGCAAGAGTATGAATCGGGTGGTGGTCGGGCAGCACTCCGCCTCACGAAGCCAGTAACCAAAGTCTTGGGTGCGTTAATTAGGAATAGCCTGATGGTTGCCATGTGCCGTGTGCTGTGTTGGCGCCTCCATCTCGCTCGGCAAGTCTCTTGGCGTTGATCATGAAGTAGAGTGTGCAGACGCCGACATGCATGAAGTCAAGTTTAAAAGGTTTGAGTGGTTGATAAGCAAAGAAAATCTGTCGGTGAATTCGCCTTGTCTGTAATTATGTGTAATTGTGTGGGTGAGAAGTGGCGGAGCATTGCTAATCAATTTCTGCGGCTTATGCGGCTGCACGTCATTCTTGGCGCTTGAACCAATCAAATCATCCCTCGCCCGAGGCTTAGCCCACTTTAGGGCTGGGCCTTAAGGCGAAGAAGAATGAACATGCTGATGGTGTCTCCCTTTCAGCCTCAATAATGACTCTCTCTTCTATCACCCCTCTACATATCCCTTGTTTCAGCCTGAGCTTTTTCCCCTCCCCATAACACATCATGCCCATGATGAGTTTGGTTGAATACCAGCTCTATCATACCTTTCTGACACTCGGCACATCATATACTCACGAGCAGCAGAATGGCAGAAATCGGGTATGCCACCCCATCGGGCAGATATAAGGAGGAATACCATACCAGCGTCACAGCTAATGCCATGCAACACAGCATCATAGCCTCGATCATTGGGGTCGCGGGTGCCGGTTTTCGCCTCTCTCTTATCCTCAACGCTGTGGGATCGGAGATTTCGAATGCTGAATGCGACATTCACAGCATCGCCAAGGGCATCTCGCTCTTCTCCCTCATGCTTAAGCAAGTCGGCATGACCATGGAGGAAGGGAAGACGGTCGCATCACAGAGCGCTATAGATACTGCGACGGAGATCAGGGATCAAAGCCAAGTGGTCTTCGATGAAATCAAGAACATGGTGGATTTGGCCCAAGCGAGGGACGACAAGGGCAACCTCCGATCGATCACAATAGCGCAAAGGATTAAATGGTGTTTCAAGAAGCGGAAGGTTCAGTATCTGCTGGGTCAGCTCGAGTCTCTCAAGTTGAGTTTGTCCATCATGCTTCAGATCTTGCAAATGGGTAAAGCCATCGCGGCGACACGGTAAGACGCATTCCCAAGATTACTAGATCTATGCTGAATCGTTGGCAGTGAGGACCCTTCGAGAGCGCCCCTCACAGAGCGCACCATGAGGCAAGACCGTGCAGAAATACAGAACATGATCGTTGTTCAACACTGGTCCTTGGTAGAGCTACGGAAGCTATATGAGCTGGCGGAAAAGGAAGCCAAGGAAGAGACGACGAGTCCGACCATCGAAGATCCACCTCCAAGCTACGACGCAGCCGGAAATGCTGAGACAAGCTACTACGAAGACCAAGCTGCAAATGGGAACCTACGGCGGCTGTCAATCCAAGCGCCGTCAGTGCCGGATAAAATACCAAACGACTCTCAAGCGATGGTCAAATTCGAAGAGAAGCCACTTCAACAATTGGACCAGCAATTTACTCTTGCCCTGACTCGGGAGAACCAAGCTTTGGGTGCGCCTGTCTACGACATTATCAATCATCTACTGCACGAGTGGACCAAAATCCCGGAACCAGAAGCGCGTCCATCCCCATCAAGCAGTCGTGGGCCCCCTTCCCCACCACATAGTCGGAAAAACTCCAGCGCGAACCCTAGCGGAAAGCCCACCTACTACGAAAGCGACGAGGATACATCAGATTCCGAATTCGAGCGGTCGATGGACATTGGAGGACGATACATAGAGGGACCACGCAAAGGCGTTGAGAAAAACGTCCGCTTTAGAGCCCGAGTTGAAAGCGACGAAGACGAACAAGATCATCAGCGCTCACGAAGACGAGGTCCGAAGAAGCATGTCTTACACTCCGAAGATGACACATCTTCCGACACCGACTCCGAAGACTCGCCTCATCCACCCATCCCTGGCTCTCGCCGCAGTAGTGACAGCAGCAATGTACCATACTCACGAGACGGTCCCGAGCGCCGCCCCAGGCCGTATTCAGGCCGGAGTAACGGACCCGAAAGTGCAGGCAGACCTGTTCACCGCGGAATGACCCAACCGTCCATACCACAGGGTAGACCAATGCTAAATCAGCAATGGCAATCGATGCCCGCTGTCCCAGCCGGTCTTCGACCCCAACAGCCGTACGGTCCACCCGGTGGACCCCCTCGCATGCCAAACGGCAGCCCCTACCTTCCCGCCGGCTACGTGGGTCAATCGCCCCAGCCGCAATCTGGCAACTATTTCCCACCGCAGCAGCAGAGACCACCAGGACCGTCCATGCCGCCTCGACAACAGAGCCATCGCGACAAAGAGAAGAGGCGCAGTGCGGAGAAAGATGTAAGTAGTGCGAGCAAGAATTTGAGAAGAGGCCTCTTTGGAGGCGCGGCGGTAGGGGCAATTTTGGAGGTGCTGCAAGGACTGGATGGCTTGTGATTGATATCTGAACAGGCCATAGACAGGCATGGATGGATCACGATGATGCATGCAAATGATACCATAAGCGATGAGCGTTTTGGTGCAATGAGAAAACGATTGACGGCTTACATTCACAGTTTATGGCGTCAATGAATTTGGGAGGCTCTTGTCATGTACTACCATCTTTTCATGTTTGCAAGAAATTAACCTTCTATTCTTGTTATGTTATTAGTATAATTCTTAGCAACGGAGTCTCTGTTTCCAAACACATCCTCTTCCAGCCACTGATTAACGTTTCTCCAAAACGATCTTACATGAGGCTTGACAGCTATTGGATGGACCTTAAACTACCCGTACTGCCCACTCTGTAGTCTGCCTCGTACGCCTGGCATCTTGGGCAGTGGGGAAGCGCTGGCATAGCCACAATGACCGCGTTTCGATTGGGTCCCTCGGTCTGTCGGCAGAGCAGGCGAGCAAGACCTGGCATACTCATCTTGACAAGATATTACCGTTCAACACACCTTCCTGAAGCTCTTGTTCACTCCGGAGCAAGTGTTTGCAATTACGTCAAGTACGTTAACGAAGATAGCTGTCAGAGATCTGTTAGGCTTCACCTTAAATCGATAACGGTCGCGCCCGCGGCCAAAAGACCCGAGGTCACCATCCTTGAGCCTCGGCCTTGTGGCCATCTTACTACCGCTCCAACAACACCAAGGCTTCAAGTTGATCCTATCCAGTCACTAGTCGCATCAGTCGTCCGAAAATCATCTAGGTACACGAACCGAGGGATCAGATCTTACATAACACAGCGGTAGCATCCTTTGAGAGGGGCAGCAAAAGCCATCCTCGGATTCGCATTGTGAGCAGCCTTCTGCTTTCCCAGCGCACACATACAAGTCTACGGTTTGGAAACGTTTGTGGAGATGGAGTCATCAGGGGGGCTACGACGAAGGGATACGACCAAAGGCACTCCACTGCGAATACTCTCTCTAGGTGAGTGGCACTGCGCACGCTGGTCCACCGTTTTTCGTCATAGGCTGACCTGATTCGGCGCAGATGGCGGAGGCGTGCGCGGCTACTCCATGCTCATCCTCCTACACGACTTCATGCACAAGACATACGCGGAATGCAACAACGGCGAACCGCCAGAAGCAGACAAAGTGCCCAGGCCATGCGACTACTTCGATCTCATTGCGGGCACTGGGACCGGGGGACTGATTGCTATCATGCTGGGACGGCTACGAATGAACACGAAGGACTGCATGAGGGTGTACGTGCAAATGACGAGGAAAGTCTTCGAGACGGACAAGACGATTGCGGGGATCCCATACAGATCTACGCTATTCAAGGCCTCAATGCTAGAAGACGCAATAAGAGCTTGCGTGCGGACCTTCGAACACGAAAGGGACGAGAATTGGGACGATGCGTATGGAGATATGCCGAACAGTCCTGGAAGCTTCTCGAGGCCGACGAGCATGATGAGTGATAAGAATGGGATGCCGCGATCGTCTACAAGCTCAAGCTCAAGGAACAGATACAGTCAAGTTTCGGCCGACAACTGGACGGCAATGGGAGACCCGAATGCGTCGCTTGAGGATCCTAGGAGGGAAAGGAGATGTAAGACGTAAGCAGATGGTTGCACTTCAACTTGGGCATACCGCTAACCGCGAAGCAGAGCAGTAACAGCGGTCTTGAAAGGCCACAATGAGAGGAGTGCTACGACGGTTCTGCTACGATCGTATCCATCCAGAACACAGCCAGCCATTGAGTCTGAATGTGCTATCTGGCAGGCGGGACGTGCAACTTGCGCCACCAAGCTCGCTTTCAAAGAGGTCCGAATCGGTACCTCGACATTCTTAGACGAAGGCTACGGACTGGTCAACTCTGACAAAACGCCCACTTACAACCCAGCTCCACAGATTCTAGACGAAGCCTTGGTCAATGAATGGCCCGGTCAGACCATTGGCCTCTTTCTGAGCATTGGCACAGGGAAGAGGCCCAGCGGAACACAAAACATGCAGTCAGAATGGTGGGAGGGTTTCGCGGGTGGTTTGGGATCTTTCGCCGAAGCAAAGAGGAAGCTGATCGCGAAGATTGAGGGCTGCGAGAAGACACACAAGGAAATGACATCCATCCATTTACCACGGAGAGGTGTTGATCCCCAGCATTACCTCAGGCTGAACGTCGAAGTAGGAGTTGGTGAGTTTGGGATGAACGAGTGGAACAGATTGGCAGACATCAGCAACAGCACGCAGTCATATCTGAACACGCCTGCCGTTAGAGTCATGCTCAACGAAGGAGCGCATGAAATGGCCAAAGTTGAAGCTATGCGACGGCATGCTGCTAGCAGGATCCAACGAGCAAATGAAAGCTTCGACAAGCACGCCCCTGCTTACATCCCTCCTTCAGAACCTTCAGCGATTGAGCTTCCTGGTGGTGAAGACCCGCCGCTCATGCCCAGACCTCTCAGCAAGCCTGGGCCGATGTATCCCGGAGGCCGACCGCATTCATATCAGCAAGTCTCTAGCCCGGACGACAAATTTGCCATCATGTCCTCGGACGAGGTCCCAGAGGCGGGGGATGAAGCACGGCAGAGTTATTCAGAGGAGCAGCCTTATCGAGGCAGCAAAGAGTATCAGCGACCTGACTCGGGCTATGAGGCCCCCCCACTCCCACCTAAAACTCCAATCCCTTACCGTGATTCTCATACAGCACGGCGGCACATTTCGAATCCAAGAGGTAATGGCAATGTGCCTCCACCGCTTCCATATCCTGATACCGATGGTCCGCCGCCTGTTGTCAACATGGCGAGGAAGCCGGAGCATGTGCCTAGGTGAGACATTATGGGACTACAGTGACGATGCTTGATTCTACGACTTGATTGCGTCGGCAAGGCGTTAGTGAGGGTCATGATGATGGACCGAGTGGTAGGTGTATGAAAATGTGGGAGTCCAGGATAGCATGAGGATTTATGGGTGGGAGTTGCGGAGTTTAGAATGTGTGGAGTAACAGGCTGGTCAGTGGAGCACATACGGCGACTTTAGGATTGGCTGGATGATAGGATAGGTTAGGGAACACAGCCTCGACCAAGTACTAGATACACGTACTCACTTGGAGATACTTGATAAGTCTATTTATAGAAGAGGACGACGAATCGTGGTGTTGATCATGACAGACATGGTGGCGTTGATTGGTTGCCCAGGCGAGAGAAAAGAATGAGAGGCGCGGCAGCCTTTCCTTTTTGAAACTAGCGACAGATGTGACAAGTCGGAGAATCTGGATCAAAGCGGACTTTGGAAGGGAATCCAGATAAACAAAAGACGAGGATTTATGATACTGACTCCCACCAGAGCAACAGAGCAATAACATCAACATACTAGGACAACGCAATTAGGACTACATACGAACTTCCTCTCTTCTTGAATCTTGAATTCTTACATATCTTGAACAGCAGAATCGCATTGAAAAGGAGTGCACGTCCCCCCGAGAACCGCTTCGCCCCTAGATAATAGTTCCACATCACTGTCCATCAGGCCTGTTTGCTTCCAACCGAATCAAATTTACCAGCTTCGCCTCGAGTCGTGCGATAGTCCGCTCCCCCATTTTCCACGATAAAGCGTCCCACCGTTTCTGCCATTTCTCCGCCAAACGAGCCCCCATCAGCAACGACACGCGGCTTGGTCCTTGGCATCCTGCGCCTTCGAGAATTCTCAGGCCTCTGGAACTGCCAACTCTTTCCACGAATCCATTAAGAGACAAGTCAAAGAGAAATACCTGATGGTTCTACGATAATAATCTTAGAGTCGATACCGTACCTCCTTCCCCTCCTCCTACATTCCCACGCATTTCACGCAACGCTGCACATGTCGAGGACAGAGATCTCCAGCGGATGAGCCTGTGGCAACAGAGCTAGTGATCGAAGCGTTGACCCCTTCACAAAATTCTACTCACGATGGATCAAACTGGAATCATACTGGCGCGTGCCAACGAGATCTACGCCAGAGCCAATAGCACAACAAGCGGCTCCACTACAACAAAAGAGCGTCCGCCAGTATACAAGGCTATAGGGATATCCCTGGCAATATCATCAGGCGTCTTCATTGGTACATCGTTCGTCTTGAAGAAGACGGGCTTGCTCAAAGCAAACGTCAAATACAATGAAGAGGCGGGTGAAGGATATGGATACCTCAAGAACGCCTATTGGTGGACGGGCATGACTTTGATGATCATTGGAGAGATTTGCAACTTTGTCGCCTACGCCTTCGTCGATGCCATCCTCGTTACGCCTCTAGGAGCTCTATCTGTTGTGATTACGACGATACTATCGGCCATCTTCCTCAAGGAACGGCTGAGCTTCGTTGGAAAAGTGGGATGTTTCATGTGCATCATTGGATCAGTGGTCATTGTAATGAACGCGCCTGCACAGTCTTCGGCCGGTACGATACAAGAGATGAAGCATTTTGTGCTGGCGCCCGGGTTCTTGACATACGCTGGAGTTATCATCGTTGCATGTCTGTTCATTGCTTTATGGGTGGGGCCACGATACGGGAAGAAGAGCATGTTGGTGTACTTGAGCATTTGCAGCTTGATCGGTGGCTTGAGTGTGGTAGCAACCCAAGGGCTGGGTGCTGCGATTGTCACTCAGGCAGGCGGAACTCCGCAGTTCAACCAGTGGTTTCTATATCTTTTGCTTGTCTTTGTGGTTACGACTTTGGTTACGGAGATAATCTTTTTGAATGTGGGTCACCCTGCCCTAGGACTACCACTAATGATGGGCTTCGCTGACCAGGAGAACAGAAAGCCTTGAATCTTTTCAACGCCGCCCTCGTCACTCCTACCTACTATGTATTCTTCACCAGCTCGACCATTGTCACATCTGCCATCCTCTTCCAAGGCTTCAAGGGCACCCCAACCTCCATTATCACGGTAGTGCTGGGATTTTTGCAAATCTGCTCTGGCGTGGTACTGCTGCAACTCTCCAAATCGGCAAAAGACGTACCAGATGCAGCAGTCTTCAAGGGCGATCTAGACCAGGTGCGGACTGTAGCCGAACAAGAAGAGCCGGAATCAGAGCCAAAAGCCGATGCTATACGTGGTGCCGCGGCAATAATCCGCAGATTATCACAATCGAGGCAAAAGAATGAAGCAGCGGAGGCGAAGAGGATACACGAAGATAAACTGAAAGACCAGATGGAGTCTATCGGTGAAGACGAACAAGTCGAATGGGATGGGCTGAGAAGGAGAAAGACTATTCTTAACCGACCACAAGGAAGCTTGCGGAGACAGAAGACAGTGCATCCACCGCTAGGAATGGCGCGATTCCCAGATGATGAAGAAGACCACGAGCCGCGGCCACGGTCCAGCGATGTTATGGGAAGCGGAGGCGGAGCTTTCAACGGAGGATTCATGGATAGCTTCCGAAGAGGCGGTTCCGGCAAATTCAAAGCAAGGAAGGGCAAAAGCTTGAGCACAGGGACTCCTGGACTGGTCGAGCTACCGCTACCTCCGAATGCCTCTGGGGAACCTAGTACAGCCCAGGCCCCTGGTGCTATGGAAATGGAGCATGTTTACGGCCTCCCACCAAATCTCCGCGGCGCCGACGGTGCCGGAGAGGTCGATACGGAATATCATGGCAAATATGATGGCAAGCATATCGTTCTGGCGGAAGAGATCAAACCTGTGGCTTCAAGAGGAAGCAGTCTTGCGCCGGCGCCGACGCCTCCACCGCATGCAAAACGGCAATTCTCGTTCTCAAACGTCTTCAATCGCCACAAGCACGACGCTCCATCCTCTTCCGACATCACTCATGAACACCATCGCCCATTATCCCGTCTCGGTCTCGGATCCCGCCAAAGCAGCAAAGAGCACAATATACCCGGCCTCAAGACCGCCACAGAGGAAGAACGTCTCGGCCTCGTCAAAGGCGACTCTACAAACATGCTCACCTTACCCGACTACACCGAGAACTCTGACGAAGACGACTGGCAGCTCGAAGGCAAGGCGGGCGCCAGCCATACGACTGGCCTTGTGCCGCTTATAAGGGAAGAGGAGAAGGAGAGCGACGACGAGAGGCCGATTGTGCCGGATCAGAACACGCCGCGGTTGGGGCAGAGCGAGGAAGGGAGGTATAAAGAGTGGGAAGGGTTTGAGGATGGCGGCGGTGGTCGAGCGAGTAAAGGGAGTGGGAGACCGGCTTTCATATGAACGTGATACGATAGGGAGAGAGACAGACGGAAGCTTTTTTTGGGTACTCGCGTTCTAGCGTACATGGAGCGGTCATGAAAGACGGGATGATACACGAGAACCTAATGCAATGTACTCTACCATCCAAGATCATCGCAGTTGACGGAACCCTTGTCATTCCATTCGTTCCTTCCACCTCCCTTCCTCCCTTCCTCCCTTCCACATCCCGTCATCAAAAGCATGTCAAACAAACAGCCTCACTCCGCTAGACTACATCACAGTACAGTACAGTACAGTACAGTTTGCACAATCCACTCAAACCGAGTACCGCAGCCGATGTAGCAACCTCAAACCCCCGACGCCGATCGCATTAGCAGTCTCCTCTCCTCTCCCTCTCCTCCTCTCCTCTCCTCTCCTCTCCTCTCCTCTCCTCTCCTCTCCTCTCCTCTCCTCTCCTCCTCTCTCCTCTCCTCTCCTCTCCCTCTCCTCTCCTCTCCTCCTCTCCTCTCCTCTCTCTCTCCTCTCCTCTCCTCTCCTCCTCTTCTCTTCTCTTCTCCTCTTCTATAAACAAACGCAT